CCCCAAAACCCCAAAACCCCAAAACCCCTTTATGTAATAATTAGATAGAATCAGTGATTAAACCCTCTGTCGCACTAAAAACCATGCCTCTCACTCTTCTCGCCTAAAACAGTATGACAAATATACTGTAGTTATAAATGTCACGAATCAGACTGAACGAATCAGATGTAAAATTCTTTCCGAAGGAAACTCTCAAAAGCTGGGTTCTCACTGGTTTTAGAAAATATTGGATTTTCGAAGACATTTACTTCGAAAATGCCCAAATCGAACAGATGTATCACAGACATCGCCTGAAGACGATCAGAGATAACTGGAAGTTCATCCTAGTGATGCTGAACCTAATGTACTTCTTCATAGCCATTGTTTTGCAGATGAGCACTGAAGGGGTCCTCAGGCCTAAAAGATTAGTCCCAATCGGGGTGTTCACTCTATTGTATATGCTCAAGTGCTGGATTTATAAATATGAATTTGTAGCAAGATATGCAGCCATTGTGTTCGTACTGGGCTGTGGGTCTATAATGACATGGGTAAATATCCAGTTCGTGCAGTTTAGGTAAGATAGGAGGGGATTTGGGTGGTTTAGGAGATTTTAAGAGGTTTTAGGCTGGGAGGAGAAAATCATCATGCTTTCGTTTTTTGTGCGTTGGAGTTTTATTGTGGGCTTCTTGAACCGGCTGTATTGTAATTCCTACTCCATTTGCTTGTCTGACTCAATATAGGCTTTATGAGGGATTTTTGTTTCATATCTCCATTTCATTCCTACTCTCAACATGCTTAATCTCAGACTGGAGAGTTTCCTCAGCAGTAATCTTATGGGTCTACACAAACTTGTACATAATGTTAAAGGCGCAGTACGAGCAAGTGCCTTTGTTAGTTTTACACGTAATTGTATTCACTTTGATCATATTCTGTCTAAACGCGTTCTTAATTTCAAGAACGTTCAAGAAAGAGTTCCTCTCAACCTATAACGCCCAGCAGGCATCATCTCAACTGAAGAAGGTACTTCAAGGCCTACCTGAAGGAGTCACCATCATGGATGAGCAAGGAGGTGAACTCAAGTTCCTCAACAAGAAACTTAAGCAGACCTTTGATGTGGCTTCATTCCACCAAACCAGCAAAGAGAATAGAGAGTTGGCTAAAGCTCAGGAGGCAATTCAAAAGTCGTTAGATAAAATATATTCCAGAGTCACCTCTGATTCCTTGGGTCCTGGTGACTCATTCATTTTTACAAATGATATCCTGAGTAATTTCGTGGTACAGACTAAGACCAGCAGAGTTGAAGAAGGTAAAGGAGGTGACTCAGATATACAGAAAGAAGTTCTTGAAGAAATAGGGTTGAATCATTTTTTGAGAGACGAAAGAGAACACTGACTTTGCTCAGAAGACAATGAAAGAAGAATCAAAGTTTCTATTTTATATAAGAATGTATATGTTTTAAGGGATGTAGAGATCTTACAAAGAGACTTTATTGTTGTTACATCTAAAATAAATGTAATGGGAAATCGAGATATTAAGCCAACTTTTCTCCAAATGTTCATTGACACGACTCAAATCACACAATTAGAAAAAGCAAAAGCCCAAAGCAAATATCAGAGACAAATGCTCTCAAACGTATCACATGAGTTCAGAACGCCTCTCAACGCAATGTCGTTATCACTATACCTGATGAAAGACCATATCAACGGTGTGTTACTTAAATATCACCAGATCGCCTCATCATCATGAGACATCCTCAAAGGTCTGGTCGAAGACATTCTGGACATTTCAAAGATCGAAGCCGGAGTCTTCGAAATCCAGGAGTCAGAGTTCACATTCAAACAGCTCTTCGATGAAGTAAGCTCCATCTTCGAGATGCAGACTCGCATGAAGCAAGTTGGCTTGCACTTCACAATGGAGGATGCCTTCTGTGAACTCAAAGTGAAGTCTGACAAAGAGAGGCTCAAGCAGATCCTCCTGAACTTGTTGTCCAACTCTCTGAAGTTCACCGACGAGGGCTCCATCAATGTGGAGTTGAAGATCCAACAGATGAAAAAGCTCAGTGCGCAACAAATCAATTCAGGTAATGGTAAACTGCATTTTCAAACATATTTGTGTGAAGCCTTCATTGAGTGGCGGAGGGAATATGGTAATAGTTCTGCTTGTTTGGTTGAGATATAAGCACACTGGTATAATACTTCTTGCTTCTCATCAATTTTGAAGACTTGTTGGCAGTCTCATCCTATAGCTTTGTTGAGCCAATCAATTATGCAAATGATTTACACTTATTTACAATAAAGTTGGACTATATCATACTTAGTTGACTCAAAATTACATCTTCATTGCCTACAAATACTTTTATTCTCAAACTGTTTAGGTGATGAAGCGAAGCTGTCTTCAGTAGAAGCCTTTGACGAAATGCCAGTGTGCAATCTTCTTCTCGTAACTGATAACTATGAATTCAAATCACACAAATCCAAGTTTGATGAACCTGCATTAGGTTTTTCAAGACAAGACAAGACCACTGGCAGATTGATGCAGAAAGAGGCTAACCAGTCAATACCATCTAATTTCACAAAAGAACTCTGACTCGAACTGAGTGTCAGAGACACAGGCATTGGGATTCCTGAGGGAGACTTGCCATCTCTGTTCAAACTCTTTGGTAAGACCAGTTCCAACCACAACCGGAACAAGACTGGGACTGGGCTCGGCCTGACTATTTGCAAGAAGTTGTGTGAGAAACTAGGAGGGAAGATAGTTCTGGAGTCAAAAGAAGGAGTTGGAACCAAGGTAACATGCACGTTCAGATGCTTCTATTAAGCATATTTAATTACTTGTTGTATTTCTATCCAATATTATTATCTCGGGGTTTTGGGGTTTTGGGGTTTTGGGGTTTTGGG